TGGAAGAAGTTTGGACACTATCTGAGACAGGATGGTCTGCTTTGGACAGATATCACATCTCATTCAGCGTGCTCAACGTTTTCTTAGCATTACACGACGGTGAGCTTATACCATCACAAGCCTGAGAGATGTAAAAGTAAAATGGAAAACAGAAAATGTTCCCAAAGGAAGGCGTGGAACCTGAATCCAAGAACTGAAAGTCTTAGGTTGATGAGCAAATGGAAAAAAAATAAACGTGAATTGGCTGAGACTGTGGCTTCTGGTTATCATCTTTAGAAAGATAACTGTGTATGCCTCATGGACCGTTCCAGCTGTGTGTGATGTTCCTCCGAAGTGCCAGAGCCACCTCTCTGATAAGTGCAGCGCAGCGTTGCAGGGCAGCTTAGCTGGAGCCTTACAGCACACAACTTCAACTTCCCTTCAGGCTTCCTTCTTGAAATGTGGAATGAGTTAGATTTATATTTGCATATTGCTCTCTTTAGGCTTTTTTTTTTTTGTGCCAAGTGTTTATGGTGGTTAATTATTAGTCAATAATAACTGTGTTTGTCTTTGCTTAAGCTGCACATCTGCCCCTTCACTGGGGGTGCAGTTGTGAGATGGAGCCAAACATCAGAAGTTCTTCTCTTTGGTCAGCGAGAAAGGACGGGGAATGTCCAGGGGTCCTATTTGGACTAGAAAGGAAGTAGAGCGTGGTAAAGTGTGGCAAACTAATCAAATAAAGCTGGGTCGGTCTCTTCTCCCAAGTCACAGGTGACAGGACGAGAGGAAATGGCCTCAAGTTACGCCAGGGGAGGTTCAGGCTGGATATTAGGAAAAAATTTTTCACTGAAACGGTTATCAGGCATTGGAATGGGCTGCCCAGGGAGGTGGTTGAGGCACCATCCCTGGAGGTGTTCAAAAGACGGGTTGATGTAGTGCTGGGAGGTCTGGTTTAGTGATGGTGATGCTTCTTGTTTGTTGTGTGGGTGTCTGTTTTTGTAGTTAGGTTGACGGTTGGACAAGATGATCTTTAAGGCCCCTTCCAACCTAGAAGATTCTGTGATTCTGTGAAAGGGTATGAGCTTCTCTAAAGTTTGAAGAGTCTTTGGCACTTCCATATTGCTTTGATCTCGCTTCCTGTGACCCTTTGCGGAGGAGAAAGCTGCTGGTTTCTGTAGTGTCGAGCCATGGTCAGTGAGGTTGGTACAAGCCATGGGCACTGTGACCTACTGGCAGATCCAATTCCTGTTTTCACTCAGAACCTCATCCTGCGAGGTCAGAGGCAGTGAAAGTGTTTGCAGGAGGAGTGATGAATTCCTTCCCCGTTCCGTTTATGTGTAACGGATGAAATATAAACAGCTCTCTGGGCCGCGAGCTCAGGAAGGAGGTGGGCTCCCATCCCAGCGTCTTACACAAACCAGTGCGAGAGCTGGAAGAAGAGTGGTGGGTGTTTATCATTTCCACAGATAATAGTGAGGGAGCCTCCGGGCCTCCCTGCTGTATAAATTGCATTGTGTGTGACTTTGACCCCGCGTGTATGAAGCTGAGTCTTGACTGTGAAGGGTTTAGACATCTTAACCTCGAGCAGTATCGAGCACTGGTAACAGAACAGCTTTCTCGGAGGTGGTTGTGTAGCAACTATTGGCAAATGCATTGAATGCTCATTTGAAGCCCCTCTCATTTGAATATGATGTTCAGACTTCTAAGCTGTCTGCTCCTGCATCAAAAGAAAATGATTGCTCCTTTCAGTTGTAAATAAATTCATGTTTTAGTCGAGGACACTTATGGAAGTGGAGAGCAGAAAGAGCAATTTATTATTAGATCTGTCACTTTAAAATATGTTCCCACTTTGATTCTGCTTTGAAGCATTCTCCTTTGAAGCAGCATTAAAGTATTTAAATATGTACGAGTCCTAGCAGGGGGAGATTACAAGTTGTGACACTTTGTAACCTTGGGTTTTTTTATTATTTTTTTGCTTTTTTTTTTCTCAGGGAATTACTGTAAGTGGGTTTTTTATTGCTTGGAATAATAATGGCCATCCATTTAAAACTGCAGAAAGATGTTTGCCCAGTGATTGGGGAAAAAAAAAATATTGTGTGTATGTATGAAGTAGAAACTAGTTTGTATAATTAATTATACATCACTTTGTCATGCAGATCACAAAGCTTCTGTCTAGAAATTTTTAGAGTATTTCTTACAAAGGTTTCTACATACCTTGTTATTTTCAAGTTTGCTCCTAATTGCAAGGTATGTGGCGTGCATTGATGGCTACAGAAATGTTAGTTTTCCTGTTGTTTATGCTTCCCAGAAGCTGTTGTCAGAAAAAACTCTGCAGTCAAGTAAAAATTGTCAGGTCTCTTAGACACCTTGTGTTTGCTGACGGATTCTTACCGGCTAGAAAAACAACAAAATTAGATCGATGTCTGGTGAAGATAAGAGGAGGATAAATGTCCTTGCCTAATATGCCTTACGGGGTAAAACACACTTGGAAATGGTGAAACGCTGAGGAAATCCATGGGCTGGATTCTGTGCATTCCTTGGATTTCTGCCTTGGCCCCCGTGCATCGCGGGATGCTCCGCTCCTGATCCCAGCCTGGTCTCTGCCTCTCGCCAGGCTCTGAGCGGGGCCAAGAGGAGAGGCTGGGAGCGAGTACAAAAATGAGCTGCACAGAACCAAGTCCTTTGAATTGCGTGGCTGTTTGGTTGAAGATAAGTAAATGCTTTCCCCAACCTTTGCCTGCAGGATTTATCCTTTCAAACGCCTGTGGCTGAGTTTCCCATACGCTGCTCTGCTGAGAGCTTTTGATTTACAGCTTGTCTTTAGGTGATCAGAACATGCTTTCTTCATGTGTTTAACTCTTAAGGCATAAGATGAGACTTTTTTTTTCTTTCAGGCACTTCTGTAAGATGTTTTTAAACACATACATAAAGTCCCATATTTTATTCCAGCTGGGACTCTTTAGTCTGGAGAAGAGAAGGCTGAGGGGAGACCTTATCAATGCCTACAAGTATCTCAAGGGAGGGTTGAAGGAGGAGGGAGCCAGACTCTTTTCAGTGGTTCCCAGTGAGAGGACGAGGGGCAACGGGCACAAGTTGGAACATAAGAGGTTCCACTCAAATATGAGGAGAAACTTCTTCACGGTGAGGGTGACAGAGCCCTGGGACAGGCTGCCCAGGGAGGTTGTGGAGTCCCCTTCCTTGGAGATTTTCAAGACCCGCCTGGATGCAGTCCTGAGTAACATGCTCTAGCTCTAGGCAATCCTGCTTCAGCAGGGGAGTTGGACTAGATGATCTCTATGGTCCCTTCCAACTCTAAAAAATTCAGTGAAATTCAGTGAAATTAAAGAGGAAAAAATTCTGCTTGCGTTACGGTAGCCTAGAAGGTAGTAGGTAGGACCAGACATCAAACCCAGAAGACCCACTGCATGAGAAGTCATGTCCTTTCATCTCAAGATGTGTATCTGCAAAGCAGCAGTATTTCTGCTTCCTCCTCTGTCACGCTTTGGCAAGCAGAGACTGTGTGATGGTACTGAATCTGTAGCAAAATGGGGTTTGCATCATGTTCCTGTGAGAGCTGTTCACCCCAGAAATAGAAGTGCATCAGTACAGTTTTTGAAGCAATATTTGGAGCCTTTTTTTTTAATATGCTTCTGATTTGCCTCAAACAATATCACTGAAGTCGTATCTCACTTGGTTCAGTTTTACAGAGGCCAAAAAAACTGCAGAGCTAATTCCACAAGCCAAGTACTTTTAAATGGCAGTTGAGGAAAAACATTAGCAAGGCAGAATGCTATTTAATTGAAGTAAAAAAAGGCTCTGGAAAGTTACAAAGTTATCAGATGTCAACTTAGGAATGCACTTTAAAGAGGACAGAGGAAAAGAAGCCGTACATAATAAGCATCTTAGGAAAATAAGGCACTTTATGTGTAGGGGGAATCGATGTTCATCTGTTTTCTTCTCCCTGCATTTTAGAAAAATTATTCCAAGTTTTCACATTATCAGTACAGTTTTTGAAGCAATATTTGGAGCCTTTTTTTTTAATATGCTTCTGATTTGCCTCAAACAATATCACTGAAGTCGTATCTCACTTGGTTCAGTTTTACAGAGGCCAAAAAAACTGCAGAGCTAATTCCACAAGCCAAGTACTTTTAAATGGCAGTTGAGGAAAAACATTAGCAAGGCAGAATGCTATTTAATTGAAGTAAAAAAAGGCTCTGGAAAGTTACAAAGTTATCAGATGTCAACTTAGGAATGCACTTTAAAGAGGACAGAGGAAAAGAAGCCGTACATAATAAGCATCTTAGGAAAATAAGGCACTTTATGTGTAGGGGGAATCGATGTTCATCTGTTTTCTTCTCCCTGCATTTTAGAAAAATTATTCCAAGTTTTCACATTGAATCTTTTAGAAAAGACCACAGCAAATATGAACAAAAAAACCCACAATCTGTTGCAGTAGAACAGGTATTCAGTAATGTGAATCCTAGACTGTAAACAAGGAGTTTACAAATGTAGACACTGTTAGAAGAGGCTAACAAAGATTTAGCACATGTATTGAAGTGTAGGGACCATAAAGTCCAACTGCATCCTCTGATAATCCACACAAAATTTGCAAAGAATGTGATGTCAATACGTCCTGGATGAAACTACTGTGGTCCCAAGAAGGGTCTTCAGTAATGTGAATCCTAGACTGTAAACAAGGAGTTTACAAATGTAGACACTGTTAGAAGAGGCTAACAAAGATTTAGCACATGTATTGAAGTGTAGGGACCATAAAGTCCAACTGCATCCTCTGATAATCCACACAAAATTTGCAAAGAATGTGATGTCAATACGTCCTGGATGAAACTACTGTGGTCCCAAGAAGGGATGTAATCTGTTTGCTAGCAAAGAACAAAAGCAAAGTGCTTTTCTAAGCTCTAACTTCTAGTAAGAGTATTCTCTTATTGGGCAAAATCAACTCAAAAGAAAAGTTTATTATTACGTTTTAGTGTGTCATGTGTTGTTGGTTGGTTGTTTTGCAGAAGTGAAGATGCAGTCAATCAGATGGCTGTTACTCCTTTCCCATTGCCTTCCAGCTCCCACTCTTCTACTGAGGTAAGGTTTTTGTTTTGTTTTGTTTTTTTAATTAGGGATTGCTAAATTAGACAGATTAATCATAATTAGCAGTTCATTATAAATTCGGGCACCTTGTCTAATTTAACACTGAATCATAAAATGCATTGGGTATATAATAGGCATATTTTCCCCTGTCTCTTCGTTATTGATCTCATTGTTACTGGAAGGGCCGACATGGCATCAATGACAGGTATAAATAGGTTATTGCTGTACAGGAGGAAGAAAAGTCTCCAAATGAAAACCTTGCTATCTCCTGTCCCACTCCTTTTTCAGCTGTTTTGAGTAGTCATGGTGAGGCTTTTTTGGATGGGACATGGATATCCTCCTGCAGAAGAGAAACAAGTGTTTGTCAGGGGAAGCTCCCACCTTCTAAGTTCTTTTTCCCCCAGAATACCCTCCTATCAGCATCTCCAAAACAAAGTAAGGGTGACCAGCAACTAGAGGTCACTGTGTCCATAGTTTGCGTTACAGGAGGCCCTTGAGACAATCCCAGCCCAAATGAGAGCCCTGGTCCACCACTGTCTCCTGTACCCCAGCATCGGACTCTCTCGTTCCTGCTCATTTTCTTCCTGGAGAAGCAGCCAAGGGGTGTTTAAGACACAATGTTGTAGCATATGATCTTCCAATGCAAAAACTTCCTTGGCGTGGTAATGTTACCAGTGTTTTTCCTCATTATAGTTGCTATCGCAGCCCCGGCGCGGAGCGATTGCTCTCCCGTGCCCCATGAATCCCTGCAGTCACCACATGGTTATCATTTTGACATCTCGACGTGGTGTAACAACATTTTCTAGATAAAGTACATGGTTAGCCTTGCTGTTGCTTCTTAATTCCATTTCTATCTGACCTAATAAAGCAAAAGATGTTTTGTAATTCGATTGGGGTTTGGTCTTGCCTGGGATTGATGAATCGTTGCGCATTGAACTCCTGGTATTTCAATAAGCATCACCGTGATCCCGCAGCACCGCTCCGTGCTGGGAGAGGCTGGATGAATGTCCTGTTGGCACGCCTGCTACTGCTTTCCAGATGGAATTCCACGCAGGCGCCGTGCTCTACAGGGCACGAGGTGCTTGGTTTTTCTTTGGATCCGAGTCATTTTTGGCCAGTACTTTGGCTTTTCCTTCTCTCCTGCGTAAAAGCCCTGTGGCCCAGGTGCAGCTGGTGGATTGCAAATTACTCTACAGTTTACAGAGCCCGAGTTCATCTTATTTTTGTTGACTCTTTAATACCTGCATTTGTTCCCAGCTTTGTTTAACATTTGTGTCTTCAGGAGGAGGCAGGAAGCTTTGTTTAGGCACATTCTGTGCTCTGTGGTCAAATGACTGTAATTAGACTCTACCAGCATGTGCAAACCAAAGCACTCAGGATGTTTGCCTTTAGAGGTAGATGCTTGTGGGTTGAGTTTCATGCATTAATGGCAAGCTCTTACTATTTACGTGGTATGTGTTTTATAAGTAAACGCAGGTTTTCACTTCCAGCCAGTATCTTTTTATTATATAAAATAAATGTGACCAAAAGATACTGTTGCTGTATCGAAATCTACATTGCTTTCCTGTGGCAGCTCTTCCTTCTGTAAATAAAGCAAAACAAAACTGACTGTGCATTACATCTTGAAATTATATCTTTGAAATACCAAATAAATATTTAACATTGTGTGCTACATACACTGTACATAAAACTTGTCAGATCAAATTAAATAGGCTGGCTGGTGTAACAGAGTATCAGGGTGCCATAGTTACCATGCACTGTTGTGTTAATTTTCTTCAGTTTATCTCTTTATCTTCATTAAGATATTTTAATATGGAAAATGACAAACAGTATATATGCCTTACAACAGGGTCTTGCTTCATTGCATGGAATTGCAGGACAGGGTAAAACTATGAGGTGGTGCAACGCTGTGGACAAGCCACCAGAGGCAAATTCTATTAAATATTAATTACTGTAATATATCTGTTTTAAAAAACAGATATGTCATCAGAAATCCACAGAATGAGATATTTTATTGTAATAGTGAACAGAGTGAGCCTTTGTACTAACACAGAGGTACTTTACCTGATCAAGTGGTGGGCGAGACATTTGGGTGATTCTCATTGCACGCTTAAATGTAAAATGTCTAATGAAAATTAAGAAATAGTTTTGCTTCTAGGACTGAAGCTCCAGAAATTTGATTTTGTTGTACATAGTCCATTTGGCTTTGCAACAGAGAACAGCTCCAGATTTGGATTGAAGGCTTAAGTGTGTTATAACTATTTTAAAATAAAAATACAAAAAAACTTTTCAGATTTGGGACCTGGTTGGTTTAAAAAAGGGAAGGAAACTTTAAATATTACATGTAACTGAGTTAGTGATACTCTAACTTTTAAATTCTAATTTAACGTTTTCACTGAAAAGATGCCATTTCACAGAATCACAGGATGATATGGGGTTGGAAGGGACCTCTGGAGATCATCTTGTCCAACCCTCAACTTCCTATATACCTTAACTTTAATTGTCGATATGGGAAGGAAATAATTTTTCTTCTAGTGACAACTAAGCTAGTTATTATCTAGAGAAAATACCAGAAAATTCTGATCAGACAGGCTTTTCTATCTGGTTTGGTGCTGTTTTATGTCTCAAAGGCCATTTTTGTGGGGAATCCTCTATAGAAAGAGAAAATCTTCATGCAGGAGAAAGCTCTGGAGCGTATCTTGGTGAAAATACTTACATCTTTTGGGCCATTACCTTCATTTGTTGGTTCTCTAGTAGCTGCTGTTGAATGTCATGTGCAGTATTGTCACAGTAAAGTACCTGAATCCTGAGCTTGGTTGCCCTGTGCTCTAACCAGACGAGCTTCGGCTCCTCCAGGGTGGAGCTCTCAGTCCAGCTGCTACCAATCTCTTTAGATTGTATGAAGGGAACTGGGCTTCCTTCCATACAAAATCAACAGTTTTCACAGCTGATAGGGATTAATCTGGCCTTAAAAGTTGACCCAGACCCACCTAAGTGCCCATATTGGACTACCTTGTGGTACTTCAGGCCAGCCAAGCGGAGACCAAAGTCTGTCAAAACTTGTATCGCTTGTTTGTCTCCTGACATTAGGATGCTTTAATTGTGGATCTTTTTACTTTTTCATGCTGCTACTTGTTTAGAAAAACAAAAGGAAAGGTAAAATTGTCTAATTATTTTCTTTAGCTATTAGGGGGGTTCTTAGCTGTGTTTAAAAAACTGTTATCGATCATTTCTACCAGGATCATGGTGGTACAGAACCTGCAAGTGGAGAAGAAGACCCAAGTTTGGAAGTTGTCATGAAAAGCTTGACCAATGAGGAATCCAACAAAGCTGTAAGTGACTTAGAGCATTATTTAATCATGATCAGAGCTTAGAAAATACAGGCTCATTGCCTTGGTTTGTTTTCTATCTGCCTTTGTGTTGGAGTATTGCTTATGTCAAATAACATCCAGTACGTGTAAGAGCACAATCAAGTTCTACATTCATGGACTGTTTTCATCAGCTAAGCAGTCAGTATAATTTGTTAAAATATCGAGATAAGAGTTTTTATGTAGCATTTTGGCCCTCCTTTGAGTTCTTTCTCAGTGAGGGGATTGAGTTTCCACTCTTGCCATCCATGTGTGACAAACTTCAGAAAAAAGTGCAGTCTGTAAATCATATTCTTATTTATATTCATAGCTTCGTATATTCTGAGGCCAAAATGTCTATTATCATAATCTAGTCTTGCCTCCTGAATAACATAGCTATAGAGTTACTCTCAGTAATTTCTACATCAAGCCCATAACTTCTGGTTTAATGTGGTGCTGTCAGTGAGCGCTGTAATAAATACTGAACTTCTCATTGATATAGACGGGCCTTTTTGTTGTTTAATATGTCAGGATTGTGCATTATCAGATATTTGAAAGTCCTTCGGGGTGCAGCTCTAATCTCCTTTTTTGGACTCCATGTTAAAAATTTAAGATGGAAAACTACTAAATGTGCTGAGGAGCGACTAACCTAGAGGTACATAAAATTTGCTGAGACAGTCTTTTTGTCCAACAGTCTCCTTCTTTTCCTAGGAGTGCGTTGGCTGAGCCCTGCTGTGTGTGCACACTCTGTGTGTGTCTCCCTCAGCCAAGGAAACCTGACATTTCAGGATTTTTTGTTCTTAGATGCCTTCTTCCTGCTCCATCATGTCTTTTGCAAAGAATGTCCTGGGTTTCACAGATAGGAATTGAATGTACATAATGTTCTATAACTAGTAAGTATTTGATTAACGAGTCTATGAACTCCAAGAGTTAGGAAGTGTTATGTGCTATTGGAGCACTGGAATTAACCACGCATTAAAATGACTGATTTGTGTTCCTAATGGCTTACAAAAAAGTTGGAAGGCACAGGAAGGACATGGACCTGTTGAAACGGCTCCAGAGGAGGCCACAAAGATGCTGCAAAGGCTGGAGCTCCTCTGCTGTGAGGACAGGCTGAGGGAGTTGGGAGGGTTCAGCCTGAGGAAGGGGAGGCTCCAGGGAGACCTTAGAGTCCCTTCCAGTACCTAAATGGGCTCCAGGAAAGCTGGGGAGGGACTCATGATCAGGGAGTGGAGCAACAGGACAAGGGGTAACGGGGAGATTTAGACTAGATATTAGGAAGAAGTTCTTTCCTTTGAGAGTGGTGAGGCACTTGCTCAGGTTGCCCAGAGAAGCTGTGGCTGCTCCATCCTGGAGGGGTTCAAGACCAGGCTGGATGGGGCTTGGAGCAACCTGGTCTGGTGGGAGGTGTCCCTGCCCAGGGCAGGGGATTGGGACTGGATGGTCTTTAATGTCCCTTCCAACCGAAACCACTCCATAATTCTATGATTATCTGTATTTGGTAGTCTTGTGCAGAATCCTCCTTTGCACTGAAATATGAATGAATCAGAGTCTTGTACATATTTCCAGGTGTAACTCACCCGGTTTTATTGCTGTTCTTGCCCAACTTGGCAAGAAACTTTTGAGGGATTGCAAGGTAATGTGAAAAACTACTCAGAGACTGAAGTTGTTAAAAACATATTAAAAGTATTGTACAAAAATAAACTCGGTGTAGGATATTGTGCTGTGCAGCTTTTTGAAAGCTATTAGAGGAAACGTGAATTTAATGGGAAGAAGAAAAATATTTGCAGTGGTCCAAGATAGGTGTGGAGGGAAGATGCTGCTGGGACAACAGGGAACTGGGAGCATATGGGCAGCTCCTGTTCAAACTTGAAGCAAGAAAGAAGGAAACTGTGGAGCCAAAGGGTAGAAATTGCTTTATTTTGAACTGAAAGGTAAAAAAAAAACAAGAAAAATATAAAGTGTTGATGTTAAGAGTTGTCCAGAACAGGGCATTGGCAGAAAGGTAAGAGAAGACAAAGGCATGGATTTGTTGAGACCCCGGAGATGAGGAGAACGTCGGTGTAGTTTTCCTTTCCCACTGTCCATACCAAGTTATCTCATCTTTCCACTTAAATTGTTCGTGTAACAGCAACTGGCTGCTACAATTTACTTTTTATCTCTGGAATTCAAACCTCTTTACCCAGCAGGCCAGCATTATTATCCCCACTGCAGCACAGAGAGCAGGTGACCTGTCCCAGGTCACTGGGGAGACTGGGAGGCAGTGAGTGTGTCACCCTGTTGGCTGCTACGTAGTCCTGCCTTCATTCAGTGGGTATTTGCTTAGGGGTAGCTCACTGATTTTTCCATTAGATAAATAAGACTGTTTTCATCAGCTAAGCAGTCAGTATAATTTGTTAAAATATCGAGATAAGAGTTTTTATGTAGCATTTTGGCCCTCCTTTGAGTTCTTTCTCAGTGAGGGGATTGAGTTTCCACTCTTGCCATCCATGTGTGACAAACTTCAGAAAAAAGCGCAGTCTGTAAATCATATTCTTATTTATATTCATAGCTTCGTATATTCTGAGGCCAAAATGTCTATTATCATAATCTAGTCTTGCCTCCTGAATAACATAGCTATAGAGTTACTCTCAGTAATTTCTACATCAAGCCCATAACTTCTGGTTTAATGTGGTGCTGTCAGTGAGCGCTGTAATAAATACTGAACTTCTCATTGATATAGACGGGCCTTTTTGTTGTTTAATATGTCAGGATTGTGCATTATCAGATATTTGAAAGTCCTTCGGGGTGCAGCTCTAATCTCCTTTTTTGGACTCCATGTTAAAAATTTAAGATGGAAAACTACTAAATGTGCTGAGGAGCAACTAACCTAGAGGTACATAAAATTTGCTGAGACAGTCTTTTTGTCCAACAGTCTCCTTCTTTTCCTAGGAGTGCGTTGGCTGAGCCCTGCTGTGTGTGCACACTCTGTGTGTGTCTCCCTCAGCCAAGGAAACCTGACATTTCAGGATTTTTTGTTCTTAGATGCCTTCTTCCTGCTCCATCATGTCTTTTGCAAACAATGTCCTGGGTTTCAGAGATAGGAATTGACTATACATAATGTTCTATAACTAGTAAGTATTTGATTAACGAGTCTATGAACTCCAAGAGTTAGGAAGTGTTATGTGCTATTGGAGCACTGGAATTAACCACGCATTAAAATGACTGATTTGTGTTCCTAATGGCTTACAAAAAAGTTGGAAGGCACAGGAAGGACATGGACCTGTTGAAACGGCTCCAGAGGAGGCCACAAAGATGCTGCAAAGGCTGGAGCTCCTCTGCTGTGAGGACAGGCTGAGGGAGTTGGGAGGGTTCAGCCTGAGGAAGGGGAGGCTCCAGGGAGACCTTAGAGTCCCTTCCAGTACCTAAATGGGCTCCAGGAAAGCTGGGGAGGGACTCATGATCAGGGAGTGGAGCAACAGGACAAGGGGTAACGGGGAGATTTAGACTAGATATTAGGAAGAAGTTCTTTCCTTTGAGAGTGGTGAGGCACTTGCTCAGGTTGCCCAGAGAAGCTGTGGCTGCTCCATCCTGGAGGGGTTCAAGACCAGGCTGGATGGGGCTTGGAGCAACCTGGTCTGGTGGGAGGTGTCCCTGCCCAGGGCAGGGGATTGGGACTGGATGGTCTTTAATGTCCCTTCCAACCGAAACCACTCCATAATTCTATGATTATCTGTATTTGGTAGTCTTGTGCAGAATCCTCCTTTGCACTGAAATATGAATGAATCAGAGTCTTGTACATATTTCCAGGTGTAACTCACCCGGTTTTATTGCTGTTCTTGCCCAACTTGGCAAGAAACTTTTGAGGGATTGCAAGGTAATGTGAAAAACTACTCAGAGACTGAAGTTGTTAAAAACATATTAAAAGTATTGTACAAAAATAAACTCGGTGTAGGATATTGTGCTGTGCAGCTTTTTGAAAGCTATTAGAGGAAACGTGAATTTAATGGGAAGAAGAAAAATATTTGCAGTGGTCCAAGATAGGTGTGGAGGGAAGATGCTGCTGGGACAACAGGGAACTGGGAGCATATGGGCAGCTCCTGTTCAAACTTGAAGCAAGAAAGAAGGAAACTGTGGAGCCAAAGGGTAGAAATTGCTTTATTTTGAACTGAAAGGTAAAAAAAAAACAAGAAAAATATAAAGTGTTGATGTTAAGAGTTGTCCAGAACAGGGCATTGGCAGAAAGGTAAGAGAAGACAAAGGCATGGATTTGTTGAGACCCCGGAGATGAGGAGAACGTCGGTGTAGTACTTAGTTTTCCTTTCCCACTGTCCATACCAAGTTATCTCATCTTTCCACTTAAATTGTTCGTGTAACAGCAACTGGCTGCTACAATTTACTTTTTATCTCTGGAATTCAAACCTCTTTACCCATCAGGCCAGCATTATTATCCCCACTGCAGCACAGAGAGCAGGTGACCTGTCCCAGGTCACTGGGGAGACTGGGAGGCAGTGAGTGTGTCACCCTGTTGGCTGCTACGTAGTCCTGCCTTCATTCAGTGGGTATTTGCTTAGGGGTAGCTCACTGATTTTTCCATTAGATAAATAGATACTGAAAAGTTAAGGGCTAGGAGGTGGATTTATACAAGTATTTGAATGCCTATAGATCCAGTTGGGCCAGCCCTTGGTTTAGAGGCATAAATGGATGAAAAATAGTGGCAAAAGTCTCATAATTTCAGAGTTTTCTTTCAATCAGGATTTTAAAAGTAGATGGCAAATATTTCTAAGTGTATCTTATTTTTGTAAGTGCTGATGGTTGTGATCTGTCTCTTCTGACCAGAGGGAAAATGAGTTTGTAGTCGCACTGCCATTAAGATTTTGACACTGCAGTTCAACACAAGGCAGCTCGTTATTCTGAGGGACGGAGATTTCTCTTGCAGTCTTTTGGTGACTGTTGAGGCAAAAGAAAACAGTGCCTTGTTTTTCATAGCATGGTGGTTGCTACTAGAGCCTAATGCTACTCCACCATTGTTATTGAATTTCTCAGTCATGTGTCAGGAGAAATCAGGAATGTAGAAGTCAACAAGTAAGATCAAGTTCACTGAGTAAATAAAAAGTATGTGCTTATCAGCAGAGATCTTCCACAAGTATGTACAGCTCAGAGCACAGGCAGGATGTTTCACCAAGTGACAGCTGTAATAAAAAAGAGGAAAAAAAAAAAAGAAATTAAAAAAATCACATCATTCTCTAGTCACTTGTTGCTGATAAATTTGTCAGTCTCTCCCAAGATACTTTTTGTTGTCACTTCATCACTTTAAAAAGTATAAAGTTATATAATGGGCGTCATTGTGGACTTGGATGATAAGAGGGGGGAAGAAAACAACTTTATTTCTGAACTGGAGCCAGTGGAAGTGTCAGGCAAAGTCTGCATGCTCGTTAGCTGAGCTTTGAGATGGCCTCATAGAAGGTCATGGTTTTCTGAGGCCTGGGGCTATTTTGCTTTCTGTAAAGTGTCACTGGCAAAGGATTGATATATGGGGCTTTGAGATGCGCTCAAAACTTTTCACTTTACAAAGGTGAAAATGCCTTGAGCAGTGGCTGTGTGTGCATCGTTAGTGTCCTGGCAGAGCATGTACTTAATATTCAGTGTCCTGTAGGTGGGATAATTAATCTGATGTTTGGGATATGAGAATGGTTTCATTTTCCTAAAAAGATTTCAACTTAGAACAGTAATCTGTGTGCACCACAAACAGAAAACCTGTCCTTGAAATGTTGGCAATGAGAAGGGGATTCGTAAAAATGCTTTTGGATGCATTTGAGGGAACTGAATTGTATTAAACCAGTCGGGTCACAGACTTATGACAAATGCTGAGTGTACAATTCAGTGCTCGAGGGACTGGAAATATTTTTATAGAGTTCAGGTACCTCTAGCATAGTCTGAGTTAAAGGGAGAAGATTCAAGAGATTTCAAGGTGATGCTTGCTGCTTCCTTGATGTGCAAGATGAAGTTGCAGATTTTAGTCACGTATCAGAATGAAAGGGAAGTATGAAATAATTTTTCATTGCTCATTAAAGCAATCTCTCATAAAATGACAAAGCAGTCTTCTCATTTCTCCCCGGCACCTCTGAAAATACAATGAGATCACCATTTAATCTTTTTTCTTGTTAGCCATTTGAATAATAGAGTTGGATAGGTATGGCAAACTTGGAGAAAAATGCAGAAAAAAGAAATGCAAGGGAGCAGGGAGAAAGCTTGTGGGGCATGGCATGATTTAACATCATAAAACTCCAGGAAACAAGGCCAATATTTTCAAGCTTGGTTACCTAAAATTTGTTTTATGTATTTATTTTTAAATGTATGAATTGTCATCTTAATTAGAAATTCTTTTGAGGAGCAGAAATCTCTCCGTTGCCTTTTGAAGTTGGTACTCGGCTTTCCTGAAAACTAGGCTGTTTATCAGGGTTTTTTTTAATATGGGGTAAGATAACTAACTAATACTGGGATCAAAGCAGCCTAAGTTTGGCTGAGAGCTAACAGGGGGAGGAGACTGTGACTGTCTGGAAGCAGCTGTAGAAGTAGGAGAGAAAAAAATATTTTGTAGCATATTGCAAGGATATGGAAAGAAATTAGGATACAAGTGGAGCCCGTGATTGAAGTGCCATTGTTTGAGATATTTCTAATGAGGCTGGATGATGCATTTTAAGCAGTTACATTATTTAAGTGCTGGCAGCATGCTCAGTGCTGCTGAGGGCTGCCGAAAAAGGGAGGGGGAAGGAGAGAAGAGATAATTAAAACCCCCTCCTGCTGTAGGCACCACAGGGTCTGTGCTGGTACCTGTGTGCTGGAGGCTTGGCACAGAGACCTGCAGGATTCCACCCAGCATGGAAATTGCTGTCCCAGTGGCCCCAGAGGACACACATCCTTCTTCTCTAGAGCTTCTTATTGCTCAGGAGCAATAGAACACGTGTGACGATCTCCTCCCCAAAAATCCCTTCCTTACATTGTATGCCTTCAAAACTGTTGGGTGTGTTTTGAATAATTCCTGGTATCAGAATCGTAGAATTGCCTGGGTTGGAAGGGACCTTTCAGATCATCAAATCCAACCATCAACCTGACACTGACAAAAACCACCACTAAACCATACCTCTAAGCACTACGTCTACCTGTATTATAAATATCTCCAGGGATGGTGCCTCAACCACTTCCCTGGGCAGCCCATTCCAATGCTTAATAAGCTTTTCAGGGTAAAAATTTTTCCTAATATTCAATCTAAACCTGCCCTGACGCAATTTTAGGCCATTTCCTCTTGTCCCATTGCATGTTCCTTGGGAGAAGAGACTGACTTCCTCCTTGCTACACCCTCCTTTCAGGTAGTTGTAGAGAGTGAGAAGGTCTCCCCTCAGCCTCCTCTTCTCCAGGCTGAACACCCCCAGCTCCCTCAGCCATTCCTCACAAGACTTGTTCTCCAGACCCCTCACCAACTTCTTTGCCCTTCTCTGGACACGCTCCAGCCCCTGAATGTCCTTCTTGTAGTGAGGGGCCCAACACTGGACACAGTTCCCTATATTCATGCTTGCTTTTCCTCTTTCAAGTTCTGAGCTTCAGCTTTGTGTTGTGCTACAAATGTATTTGCCTGGAATCATCATTTTGAGTTTTGGAGGAAATTTTATTTACACTAATGAGATATTTCCAATACACATCACTTTCTTTTTTGACTTTTTAGGATGTGAAATCTAAAGCTGACAAACCAGTGGTGGCAGATCAGCAGGAAACAGAGGAGCAGCTCCCAGAAAACGTATGTGTGTTTATCTTAACCGATAAGGGCAGGTTCTGGGGGCTTGATCTAGCTGAAGTTTGAGTGATTTATGGAGGGAAGGGGTTAACTGGGGAGACATTAAAATAATTTTCTTGGTGAAAACTTAGAAAAATTACTTGCTTCTCTTTAAGTATGTGGAAATAGTCACACAGGCTCATGTCAAGGATGTTTTTTGCTGTTTGAAAGTAAAAAAACACCAAACTAACCAACCAACCAACCAACCAAAACCCACATTAATTGGTATGACAAGCACACACGACTGAGAAAGGTGAACTTATGTCCCGACTTCCTTCATGAGCATTTCCAGAAGCACAATTATCCAGTCATCCTGATTTTCCATTTATTTATGAAGACAATGTTTTCAGTTCATCTATGCTTATTGCTTGTTTCCCTCCAGTCGACTTAGTGGATTTAGTAAGGTGTAACATCAACAACTAATTATTATGTCCACAAAACATGCCTTTCTGTGATTGGTAACTGATCTCCTTTGCTTCTGCTTTGCTTTTAGGTCCTCAACCAGATCAAACAATCCAAATCTTCAACAAAAGTAACAGCCAACTCACAGGAGATACCGCTGGTGCCAACACCTACTTATCTTTCTCCAGAGGCAGAAGCCACCAGCCGTAGTATGAATAAATTATTTTTTCTATATTTTATAGAGTATATCTATTACCCTAACCCAGGATGGATATTTTTTTCCCATACAACTTTTGCTGAGATTTTTTTCTTTGAATATCCAATGACCTATCATGAGTTATCTTATACAGTGTTTATATTTTTCTCTCATTTTGCAATTTTTGAGATCTTGAAGGTGTCTTTGCTTGTTTTTCTTGACTTCTACATGCAAAGGCTTTGTTCCTCTTTTTTAATTAAAAAAGAAGGAAAGGCAATCTGGGACATGTCCTGTTCATTCCATGGTGCTGGAACGTAGCCTTATCTGTCCTGAATGGAATAGACATTGCCACTGTTATCTGAATTGTATAGGTCATAACTGGATTAGATGTCCTCCCAGACATTTACTCTGAACATTTACTTCCAGAACTCTAGAGTCATTGTGATTTAGAGATTTCAGAAGTGACTCAGAGCAGCCTCCTAGTTCAATTTAGATTGGTAAAGGTGAAAAGCAAAATACAAGGGCTTAATTTGTTGCTCTCAAATGATTCCTTTGATGATTTTAATTTTCTCGTTGAATAGTGTGACTTATTTCTTTATCTTTTCCTGTTCTTAGGTGTCTTGCCACCTCCACTGCCTGTGGATCCAGCAACATGTCCTATAGTTCCAGGGCAGGAGATGACTATAGAGATATCTAAGGGCCGCTCAGGCCTAGGACTCAGCATCGTTGGGGGGAAAGACACTCCACTGGTGAGTTTCTGGTAAACTAATATTTACTGTCTCTGGAAAAGGAGACAACGAAAACGTAGAAACTAATGATGCCATGAATCTGTAATTGCTCTAATGAACAGTTCAGTACAGGGGTGAGAAACCAGCAACTACAATCTCTGACAACAAGTTGATAACTTTGCCTTGTATCAGATCAGTTGTTTGCTGTTCCTGTTTAACTGGAAAGGATTGTGTTTCAGTGATGCTTTCTGCTGTGGTCAGAGTTTACAAATATGTGGGTTTTTTAACTATTAAGAGTTTCAATCAGGTAAGTTACCAAAATGGTTGGACTAGAAATGAATGTCGCAGAGGTAGAGCTGCTTCAGCAAGGTTAACACCACATCTTGAGAGCATAAGTGCTTAGTAGCTGTTTAAACAAATGGTGATTTATCTCCCTGCCAGCAAAAGTCCTTGCTGAACAGAGGTAAACCAAAGGTAATCTGTTCTTGCTTTCTGCGTCTTTTTGCTTCATCTTGCTCTTTATTCTGCTGCTTTTTTAAAAAATATTTTCAGCTAAATTAAAAATCTATCACTTCAGGTATAAACTCAGAGAGTTAGTTATGCTCAACCCTGCTCTGCCTCCACCGTTGCTGTTTCCACTCCACTTTCCATTTTAAAGATGCTGTGTTGCAGTATAACAGAATGTCAGATTGGTTTTTCTAAATGTCAAATTCAATTCTTTCAGTAAACAAGTCTGCTGCAGAGGTGTCTTTACTGGGTTCTCCCAAATCCCCTGCCACAGAGACACTTAAGACAATAGAGCTGCTCAGGTACATGCGGCTGTTCCCAAAAATATGGTGGTGCGTCATTAAGCAATGAAGTGCTGTGAGTGTCAGCAGCTACAGACAGTTGCAGTGTAGTAATCCTTTTCCAGACCAAGAAAAAGGAAGAAAATCCATGAGGAAGTAGAAAGGGAAAAGAAAGTTTTGTTTTGCAAAATGTATGCTGTATCTTTTACAATATTAAAGCTGAAGTTGGAAAAGGTTCAGGTTTTGGTCCCATTTATCTGGGTCTCTGATTATGTAGAGCTTGGATGAATTGCTGTGTTTCTCATGGAGATAGATCTGAGTTGTGCTGCAGGCTTAGAGCAGCCTTTATGGTTTTCACTTTGTCCAGGCGGGTGCTGTTCTGTACCCCGGCCCTTTTTTGTCAAACTCCTCAGTGTCGAGTAAATTCAAATAAGAAGTTTGGCGTTAGTCATCTCTCTGCTTTTTCATTTAACTGGAATTTGGAAATAATACATGGCAGTCTGTCAGACGCAATCTGGTACATGTCTTTCATGAGATTTTAATATAAATAAATGAAAATTATAAAGATCTGCTTTACAGAGCAGATGAGAAAAATGCAAAGGATTTTATTCTATAAATTGAGTAAATGGTTTTGGTTTTGGTTAAGTATTATACTTTCATTAGTTTATTCATTAAAGTGTCCTCCTAGGAATTTATTTCAAAAATCTATGTACTTGATTGCAGTAACTGAAATTCATGAAGGGCGGGAGGTGCCTCTACCCACATTTCAGATCCTCACATTACAGGACTTACCCAAATGAGTCCCTGGTTCTTTTCATATTACTGAATCTGCTCCTCTGAAGGCGGGCGATGTTGTTTCATAGGAAACAAGTTGCTTTTGTGAGACCACAGTCTAATCTGATGGTTTGCCATGTGCAGGGACCCTCTCCAGAACTTGTTCTCCAGAAGTTGCTCAGCCAAAACAGGGTGTGAAACCCTTCTCCTCATGCAGGCAGCCAGGGTTGTGTCTTTAGCTGGTGGCATCGTCATCGCTCCGTCTACTTTGTACTACTCATCTCTCCCAAATTGTTTTGATGCCTTACATTTTTGGCCATGAAGGCAAAAAAGCCGTTTGTTAAAGAGTTGAAATGAAGCCCACATAAGAAAATGAGGAGGGATGACAGAAAATCCTACTCAGAACTGCAGGAAAGTTTCTGTCTTTCTGGGTTTTGTGGACTCGAGAGGAAAATAGAATCTAAAAAAAACCAAAGTCATGTTCAAGGAGCTGAGTGATGTGTCTTGTCTTGCTCTCCATTGTTTGTTTTTAATTTGGGGATATAGACGGGCATCTTTTGTATTTTAAAAAAGGCAGAATGAATTGACTTACAGCTTCACTGCTTCTGTATGTGTTCTGCTTACATGCCACGGAAGTTCATCACTTCTGAAGGTCTTGTGTGGCAGAAACTGTGTATCCAAGACCCACTGTTTTCTGCAGTGCAGAATTAAAAGACAGCTATAACTGGCTTCAGCAGTTTGGGGTTGGATTTTTAGCTATTTCTGAAATGGGAATTGTCAGATCAAAGTCAGAAAGACCGGGAACAGCACTATTTGTAGCCTCTTTCTGTGAGCACGAAGCAGGGATGCTGTCTTTCCTGCTCTTGTAGTTCAGGTGGCGCACACAGACAATAGGGGTGAGGTCCCCTGATGGCTCCACTGGGGAGGAGGGGTGAATCTGTGGGACCAGTGTCTGCAGAGACTTCTTTTACTGTTTTGTAAAGAGAAAACAAGACATGAACACCCGTTTCTTCCTCCTTTTTCTACTGGGGTATCTTTATTTCGTACCTGCGCAGGTGTGCAAGTGCCTACAAAAACCCCTGAAGGATACGAGCCCCAGTTCTCAGGATCTCAGAATTAATTTATCAGTCCAGGGGATACAGGGAGGCTGCTCCTCAGTAGAACTTGTCAAATCTAAGGGCCTCATCTATGTGGAATTAAAATGCACTTGATCTAAAAATACTTACCTGGGTCAAGGCTGGTGATCAGCACTGATGATTGACAGCAGCTCACGTGTGATGGGAAAGCTCGTTTTGGAGTATTTGGGATATTTCTTAAATACAGGATGTAGAGACCCAGCTTTTGGAATAATAAGAGACCCAGCTTTTGGAATAATAAATATGGGAATACACTGCTTCAAAATGAAATATAGAGTGCAACTTTTCAGTCATAACCTGAGGAATCTCATCAGAAATCACTAAGCAGGGACTTGAAAAACACCTAGCCTGCGAGCAGGGAGGTTAATTTGCTCAGGAGGTTGGAAAGTGATGTCTTAACCCCTGTGAAGTGTTTTGTGTTGAGAAGATTTTGCATTACACTTGCAGAATTGTTCAGGTTGGATGTATTATAAGCAAGGCCTGTTGCTGTGTGCTACGGGGAGCAGGAGAGCATCAGCTGGGAAGACATGCCTGTAGAAAGGAAGAAAGGGTTGTCCTTGAGAGTTGTCTTCATGTTGTTGGTCTTTAAACTTTGGTAGCCCTCAAGCCAGTCCTATTTAATTTTATTCTATGGGCTGATTTATACTTTTATTTTTTTCTTCACTGTCTTTCATTTCACCTTCCCCTGTGCCCCTGAGAGAGAACACAACACATGGCCTCTCCTTTAAAGCAATTAAACTGCAGAGTGGAGCTGGCTGAAGTACAGGGCTTTCAATTTGTGAGAAGATTATTTTTTTTTTTTGGTTGTAGTCCAATCAAACTTGTAAAAGTAACCTCAGAGTGGGATTTTTTTTTTTTTCTTTTAAAAAGTGTTTTCAGAAACATCGCAAAATGAGGTTTGAGGCTCTAACTCTGCTCCCCAGGACACCGTCCTGCCCTCTTGTCCCCCCAGTTGTTGAACGAGATATAAATGCTTGTCACCTCCACCGCCACTAATAGCAGCCATAAACCTGACAGGGATGTCATTGTCACTCGGCAGCTGCCGCTGCTCCCGGGGCGCCTGGACCGCTGGATTCCTGAGCTGGGGGTCACCAGCACTGGGCAGGACGTTGGAGCCTGGAGGAGCTGTGACTTTTGGTGGGACACAGAGTTCAGCTTTCAGACCTGGGCCTTCACGGCAGGGAGCCAGCGCTGGCACGGCCGGCTGGGACCCCGCAGGGTAACTGGCCCTGCAGCACAGGTCCTCCATAGTCCAGTCCTCCATAAACTTAGGAAACATTCCTCAGCTATTCTGCTTTTGATTCACACATTCTGCAGAAGTTGTTTCGAGGCAAATAATTGAGTTTTGAGTCACGAGCTTTTTTTTTTTTTTCTTTCTATGAAACCGTCTTGCCGTTTCTCCGAGGTTTTCTTCTTTAATCGTCGGAAAACAGGGCATTGAGGAATTATTTAAGAAAAGATGTCCTGGTATTCCTCCAGATGGCATGTGGGGTTAAATCATCCAAACCCCATTATCACTCCAGGGTGGGTGAGGGCAGTGATGTCTTGTCCGCTTAGCGACTTGCAACGAGGCATTTTCTATAAAGCAGGATTGCCAATTTACAGGGATTTTATTCTTGGCAGTACATGGGAAAAAGCATCTCTCTCTAAGATGAAAACGTTTTCTTCGTTGATGGGAGCCCTGTTTTGCTTCCAGCTGAATAATTTAGCAATGGTCGAGTTGATTACTCGTAGTTATTGACTCTGTATTTGCTGCCTGGGTGATTAAGATGCTCAGACTTGCCGGAGGGGATTCAGCAGTTCCAGGGCCAGTACAGGGACATTCCCCCCAGGCAGGGTTAGAAAACCCTTGGAGGGGAGGAGAGCCTAGAGGCTCAGCTGGGGCTTGAAATCACAATTAAGTGCTGAAGAGGCACCTGCGATATGAAAGAAAGAAGGATTGCAGGAGCAGTAACCCAGGGGCTCTTTGGAGGGGGAGTAGTAGCTCGGAGGCAGTCATTGTCTGAACCTCAGGAAGAAAAGCAGCATACTTTATCCTGTGTCTCTTTTTATATTGAAAATGACAACAAACCTCTAATGCAGAATTTTTATACTGAGTTGTCTACTTTGAATTTGGTAAATAAAAACTTTTTTTTCACTTTTGCTCTGGGCTGGCTTTAATAAAAAGCATTTTTAAGGCGATTAACCAACTTTAAGGTACTCCATCTGTGAAATAAAGTGATCCACGAAGCCAGGGAAATGGAACACGTTAGCAGTGCTCCAAAAAAGTAACAGAATATGCCCAGGCTCGGCTAACACTGGTCGGTGTGAGAGCTGGTAACGC